GACTTTAGCTCTGTGAATTAAATGTGCTTAGAGCCATGGATTTGGAATCACTTGCAGTCAGGCCTCAGGCTCAGCCCAAGCTGTGATCATTACCAGTAGCAGCTAAGCCAAGGAGTGATGCTGGTTTCTGGTCCTGTTGCTGGAACTCACCCTCGTTGCTGCAGCCAATCTTGTGACAATGCTGGCTTGGCATAGGGCTACCTACCAAGGTTCCGTCTATCTTAATGTACCCTGTGATTTTGTCCATTTGATATACAACTCCCTGTAAGAGTTTTTCTCTACATCGTCAAGTTGTATTTAGCTTAATTACAACCTTAGGCTTTTGGGGATATTTGTTTTAAGCCAACATTTTCATTTGGATGGTGTATGATTTTTTTCAGATTCATTAGACCTGTTATCTGAGAGTATGAGTTTTGAGGTGCTTAATGTACTTCACAATTTTCTGTTTATTTATATGTTTAGTCATTCCTATCACGGTACTTCTTGAGATGTCTTTTAAGTATTTTCAAGCACTTAATTCTGTTCAAACAATCTTTCATAATTATTTTTCCCCATATGGAAATTCACATTATAACAGCAGGTTAATTAATTTCATATCGAATAGTAGAATGGTGTAATAATAAGTCAAATCTGTGGAAAAGAATTTCTGCCTTTGAAATGGACACTACTTTTGAGGTTTTTTATACTGGGAACTTCCATTCATTTTAGTAAGAAAGATTTAGCAGCTGCAGATTAAAATTTCTTGTATGAAAGTAAATTCAGAAAACTAGAATATCTCCAGGTGTCTCCTTTAACTGCTTAAATAACATTTCCCTAAAAACTTCCTACCTGTGAAATCCCTTTATTTCGTATAGAACCCAGTAATAATTTGGAGTTGCAAATAAATTGGGCCTTAGCTCACTGCTGTGGGTACTGTGTACAGGACTGTGTACTGTGCGTTATCCTAAATTCATCCCACCTGCAACTCAGATTACTGTGATGTAAAAAACTGAGGTTACTTTACAAAACTGTAATTCCCTTATGTAGATATTCTTTTTATTTTAGTCAAGAAGGGGTTAATGATCTCTTGGCTAATTCAAAGCTGCAGGTGATGAATGAATATTTAAAGCAGAGATGTCTTGTTTGCTAACACATTTGTTGAAGAGCAAAATCAGTGCTACATAGGTGGAAAAATAAGAAAGTGAGTGAGGAAGACAAGTTTGTCCTGCTCTGTGGGTTCCAAAACACTTTTCGCTTTATGTCTGTCTGCTGTGTTATTACATTTGGAAATGAGCAGTAAATTCTGAGGTTTTTTTGCTTTCTAATCTGTTCTGTTTTGGTGGGGGCCTTGGATGGAGGGATTTATCTGGGGTTTTCTTTCTTTTTGATTTGTATTTGTCTTTGGTAAACATTGTTGACAAGAACTTTTGCTCTTTTATTTTGTTTGTTTGGTTCTTTTTGTATGTCATTGTTATTGTTTGCATAGATTACAAAGGAAATTGTTGTAAAGGTTCTGCTATTGTATTTTGGGAATGATGATGTTGCCAAAGTTATTAAAGTTGGGTTATGTTGTTGCACTATGTTCTCCAGAAAGCTAACCCTTGAAACCTAACTGAAAACTGGATGAAAAGCAGACTGTTATTTTTTGTCAGGACACAGCATCAGTGGTCTGTGATGTGAACTAACTAGCAGCTGATTTCTGGATGAAATCTGAGATTTTTTTTTTTGATTTAGCAAGCTCTGTGTTACTGGGATACTCTTTTCCCCAAAAGATTTCCTCTTCACCTACTCTAATACGTACCACAGCTTATTTATTACCAGATTTCATTTCCATTGTATAAATGGAAAGGGGTAGCAGGATGTTTTGTCTGGGGAGGATAGTGTTAGGGGTATTTTAGAGTGCTTCCTGCTGTGATTCACAGAAGCCTAAATGCGGTGACTCTGCAAGGCCAGTTTGCAAAATCTTGCTCAAGTGGTGCTCAAGTGGCACTGATTAGGGGGACAGAAAGCCAGCAAGGCTATCTTTAGATTCATTTTGCTCTGTGAAGGTCTGTTAGCAGATTTATATTGCTCTTCTAATATAAAAAGTTTGTGTGCAATAGAGAATATGAAATGCATGGCCATTATGGGCAGGTTTGAGCAGTGGTGTTGTTCCCCTGTGTGTGATCCCTTGCACCAGGGATTCTCTGTGTGCTTACAGTGAGCACATTGCCTCTGCCTGCAGCCTGCCTCTGAAAAAGTGGCCTCACTGTGTGATGGAGGATGGGCAGAAACTGTGGGACACACTCCCTGCAAGCAGTGTGGCCAAATACCTGTCTCTTTAACTGCATCTTACTTCTTGATGTTCATGTATCTTATTTTCTTCAGAGTGTATGTTTTTCATGAGATTTCTTATCTGTTATAGATAGAAAAAGTACTGCTTTTTTTGTCTGTTTCAGGCTACTTTTCAGTCATTTTTTATTATTCTTAAATATAACTTTAATATATTGTGAACCTAGTCTTGATATGAGTGAAGCTAGATATTCTGAAAAGAAATTTAATTTATCTGGGCTGAGGGATGACTGATACATTTTGGTATTTCTTTACTCTCTTTTGCTTTTACCTATTAGTTGAAGTGTTTTCTTTTGTATCTAACTAGGAAACACAGTTACCTATAGAACTGTGCATGTATGTGGTGTTGGAACTCTACCACATACCTGCAAAAATACGTAACTGTTTTGGAACTTGAGATTTTTTTCCTATTAATGTTAGAATTTAAAAAATTGTAATTTATTTGTACTTTTCAATATGAAAATAATTTTGGGAACCATATCTTGTATAACATGCATACATATAATAGTTTTAAAAAATATAGTAAAAAATTAAGAATATTTATCAGGTGGTCATGTATACCTAACAGACTAGTCTGCTGTTAAAATTATATTGGCAGTTATTTACTTGCTTGCTGGTTTACTTCAAATATTTAAAACATTCTTGTTCATGGTTAATTTAAAGTTATTCTGAGAGAATAGATTAGGTGATCTAGCTGCAGGCAGGGGAGAGTGGGGTGGAGAAGATAAGAAACAACAGCTTTGATCAATGCTCAGTATAAAAAAAGTAGTCAATTAAATGAGGCACTGGCATAAAGCAAATTCAAAGGAAGATTCAGGACCTGGAGAAGAATAAAAAACCCCTAGGTTTGGTGGACTGGAAAAGGCAGTTACATGAACAACATATGTGTTGTATTCATAACGATTTATTAATGATGTTGTTTTCAACTTTTCACATTTTAACATCTAAAATACGCCTAGCTTGTTAAACTCATATTGTCAGAACTGTGACATTTTCCAGTTTTCCCATCTCATTTAAAAGCTGGAATTGTGTCATGTCAGCACTTCAGCATTTGCAGTTTCTTCTGTTTTCACAAGTCCCAAGGAAACCATAATTATTTAAATGACCATTCAAAATTAGCCATCATATCAGGCCTGGTGAAGTTTGGGCTTAAAAAATGTGTTTTTCCTGAATGATGCCATTAGCAGTTTCTGCTGTCTAACACAGCAAATCCTCATGTTTTTCTAGTAACTGATATTCTTTCAAAGCTGCTCAATGAAAATATATTGTATTTGGGGACAGAAATCATATATAGAAAGTCTCAAGGGGATGGCTGGCAGCACATGTGAGAGTGTCCAGGTGGCTTTGGCTGGTAGAAAGATTTTGGGCTTTGAGATGGACTCCAGCAGGGAATGTCAGGATACTTTGGCTAGGTGAAAAAGAGGATGGTTGAGTGTACATAAAATAATCAGAAAGCTGCTGGGGAGTATTAGTTTGGAGCAGGAAGGTACTGTTGGTGCCATATTCTTCACTTCATCAAAACAAAGTTTTGCAGAACTGAAGAAGGCTATAAGGCAAAACTAGGTATGTAGGAAGAAATCTGAAAGAGATATTCCTAGTCTTCTGGGCTCAAAACAAAGATATGTTTGAGGAAATGTTAGGACTCTGGGGAGATTAGAGCCACCTGTTTACTAATCAGCAATTAAAACATGCATGGTAAGTGAATTACTTTAAACAGTAGGATTCTTCATGCTTCAGATTGTCTGATGCCATCACACCCAATTGTATTTGTCTCCTGGATAATTTGTAGTGTAGACTCTTACTGGTAAACATGATTTGCAAGAGCTGTTTGCCTTCCAGGAGCAATCCCAGAGTTCGGTGCTGGTTCCCTTGGTAATTTCACATCCTCTCATCTTTTTGAATATTATTTACCATACCTGAAGCAGCTACTCATAATAACCTCTTACCAGATTCACTAGATGTGAGTTCATTGCCATTTACCCATAGATGTGTTCAGTTTTCAGCAACATACTGCATGCCTCCATCACGCGCATTTCTAGTACGTCTAGTTACGTGTACATTACTAGAACAAAAATTCCTCAGGAACAATTTTTCATACCTTCTGGCTTTTCTCGTTGTGCTAAAACCACTTATTAATTTTAATTAAAGTGATATTGTAGTGAGGATAGGGACTGGTTTATGCAGTATTATATCTTTGGCAATGTAAGGAAAGTTTGCATCTCTAATTAGTCAATAATACTTGAAAACAGCCTGGTTAATAATTTAAGTGACTTTCAAATTCGGGTGCAACATTAAGTGATTTTTGCCTCAGATTCTCAAACTACTTACTGATACTGCAGTCATGCCGAACGCTTTGAACAGGAACAGGTACACAAATAAATGTTGATTTTTCTTTTTTCTTTTTTTTCTTTTTTATTTCTTTGTAATGTCTTGAGAAAAAATGATAATTTATCAAATAGCTTTTTAATTTTTCAAAGTAGAATGCCTAATAACATGAGATTGATTGAGAGAAATTCCCCTGTACCTTACTTGTTCTACACCTTGCCACCTGGAAAAGGTCAGAGGGTGACAAAAGATTGTTTTTCATCTACCTATTGTTTCAAAGCTAGATCTGCTCTTACAACCAGCAGGAGCGGATGAGACTTAAGCTCACTGAAAGAATTATGCTTGGTTTTTTGCTATTAACAGGCCAACCTCTGATAACAGGCGCCACAACATGCGGGAGAGGATGCCCACTACCAACGAGAAAGGGAGCCTGTCCATGGAATCCACCAAGGAGACCCGGTACTGTGCTGTCTGCAACGACTATGCTTCAGGCTACCATTATGGGGTCTGGTCTTGTGAGGGCTGCAAAGCTTTTTTCAAAAGGAGTATTCAAGGTAATAAACTGTTCAAGTGAATCACCTTTACTCTTGAGGAAAATATGAAGCCACCTGAGATTGCAGCCTGAGCCAAGGACAATGACATTTGCTGGGTTTTTATTAGCAGCTACTGTGCTTTACCATGTATTTTTAGCTCTGTATTTGGTGAATGCTTCTAGCAGATATATAATACATTGTTACTGAGCCCAAGATTAATGAGGGAAAGAAAAGATTCTTTATGTTCTACTTGGTTTAGGTATGGCTGGCCGTGGAGGCAATGAGAAATCCAATTTAAAAATCTGTATTAGATCAAGATGACCACTCTTTCAGGCTATGTATATCTCTTTTCTGAGATTAAGTTCTTATCCAAAATAATTTCTTTTTTTTTAGGAATTCCCTCTCAGGTGATTAATTCATGTTGATTGATTTACAAATCTTAATTTAGTGCTCCATTAGCAGGATGGTTCAATCTAAATCTCTACTCCTTGAAGATATGAGATGTCTTTTGAGAACCAATATTGAAAAAGAACTTTTCTTTGATGAAATAGTATTTGTATCTGTCAGCAAAACAGGGCTTTGAACTATACACAGAGTGGTTGAGTTCACACTCTTGTTATGGCTAAAAGTATATTGTGCAAGGTGTCCAGTGGAGTAAAGGGCATCTAACAGAAACAGTGTTAATTACCATGGCGGAGATAATTCTTGATTTAAATGTGTGTCGCTCTGTGGAATTAATACTTTTCAGCTTTGTTCAACACTTCCTAAACTGAGTAAGAAGTAAGTATGATCC